CCCCCTTCCCCCTCCTTCCATCATCGTCGTTGCGATTCGCGAGTGTGTTTGTTCTTGTGGAGCGCTTGTGTTTGCATGCATGCATGCGTGATGATGATGGGAGAAGAATAGCAATGATCCTCAGAGGATGAGAAAGGGAAAGCAACCGGCCGTCGTCGCAAGAGAGAACGTAACGCAACCACGTGATGGAATCATCAATCACATTCTGATCTTCAACTCTAGATGCATTTCTGACGTAATGGAAATGCTAGGCCAATGCATACGACCGTCTTTCTGACTCGCGCTGGATGCACCTGACCGCAATTACTACGTGCACGGAGGAACTTGCAACGGTCGGTAGTGGCGCGCGGCTCTGCCCCCATGTGTGAACTAGCAGATGTGATACAGAGGTCGTAAAATGACATCTGATGGTTCAATAAAACGTGTGACAGAATCCCACTGGCTGTGCGGCTTGTCACTCAGGAGTGTATGTGGGACGCCCACCCCCACCCTCAGCCGCTTCCGGCCCAAATCAGACAGGTTTTTCCACTGATGGTGAAGGCGCTGCCTTCGCCAGGTCCCGTCAAAAAAAAGAAGAAGAAAACAACAGGAGTCGTTCGGCAAACTTCGGTGACCAAGTGATGCCGAACCAAAATGGCGAAATGGAAAACAAAACGCCGAAGTTGCAATTTTTTTTTTTTTTTTTTTTTTTTGCAGTTGCACTTCGGCCACGCTTGGCCGCACAACAGTTCTTTTCGGCGACGTTTGGCGCACAGGTCTTTCTGTGCGACGCTTGGCGCGCAGTTCTTTCTCGGCCTCGCGTTCATTGAATTGCTTTCTTTTCCACGTACGATCGACCGACTTCCTTCCCACGGTAGTGGCATCCATGATTCCATGGTTCGTTGTTCGTGTTAAATAAAGAGCCAATGGTTCGTGTTCCCACGGTTTGTTTATAAGCGCTCACCTCGTGTCTATGGAGGAAAATGGATTTCGCGGATCGAAAACGGAGCCGAGTGAAGTATATAACAAAAAGCTGAAAAGCGGATATGGTGCTCGTGTTGTTCTCGTCTATATGGGGAAATGAATGATAAGAAAAACTGATATGCTGCTCGTATTTTTCTTTACCCATACAACAATAAACATAGGGATGAAAACACTTTTTCAGAAACACAGGACAAAAAAAGTAGAAGATCTAGCATGCCAGAACCAAAAAAAAAAAAAACACATCGAAAGCTTTACGAACTGAAAAAGGTATCACGTTCTCTTTTGTGTAATTTTGAATACTTCCTTCTTCGCTCGAAAATCCAACGTACGGTCATTATAGCTGTATTTGAGGCATCTTTCAGTCGTCTAGATACCGTTCTAATGACCGTGCGTTGTGTTCTGGGGAGGAAGGATTGTGTCGACCAACCAAAATGCCAGTTCGTTTGTAAACGCTCGTCTGCCTATGTGAAAAAATGCATGAAGGGTAAAATAGTAAAAATACGCTGAAGAGTCGACATACCCGGACAGTTGATTCTCACTCTTTAACGAGTCTTTATTTATCCATAGCTGCCTGCCCTGCATGGTACAAGTTCTAATTTTCGTAGATGGGCTGCAAAATCAGTCTCTATACAATTCCGGTTCATTCCCCCCTCCCCTCCCCCTCCCACCCCCTCCCGTTGTGTTCCTCCTGGCATACTGGATACATGGGGCCCGAAAGATGCCTCTCTGTCTTCTACACCTGTCTCTTATACACATCTAGATGTGTATAAGAGACAGGTCTAGGGTGCCTTCGTGGATGATGCCTTCGATGTT